ACGGACACATCCCTACAAACATAAATATGTGTTGGTAAGGATACGGTTACCCGCGCACGCACACACACACACACACACACACACACACACACACACACACACACACACACACACGCACGCACGCACACGCAAATGCGCGCTGCATGCTGTCACATTAAGCACCAAACTACAGCACTGTCAGTAACACATGGCATGTGCTAAATCATACTTGTGCTTCATGATCAATACCACTGGTACTATTAACCAAACACCGTAAATCTCATGGTCCTGACTCTGAAGGATTCACACAGACAGCTATAATAAAGAACAAAATCATTATACGACAACATGGCAGTTAAAGAGTTTGTCTCTATTTCAAGAAATGTGCACAGCCAAAAACAGTAAGGACCAATCAGAACAGAGGAGACCAAGACCACAAGGTGTTTCACATGATCCCATTAGACACCAGGGTCGCAACCTGTGTGAAAGGCAGCACTGATAAACAAGCACATACAGGTACAGTAGATCTTAAAAAAGGAAACCACAATGCCAGACATCAAAATCACAATGAGAAGCTATTACCACAAACAAGTTAAAGATAAGTCCTCATTAAGACCTTCTGGATGTAGTGCATGTAAACTGTATTTAGATTCTGATCTAAGTAGTTTTGATCAATATCTCTACCTCTTTGTGGATTCACAATCCGTGTGCAGGCATTTTTTTCATACATGGGACTTAATAGAATTTTGCTAGTTTATATAGGAATAAATATTTACCTATAGTTTTGTATTTGAAGTGCTGGGCAGGGCAGGTATATTAACCAGGGCTGCAGCTAATGAATATTTTAATTATTGATTACTTGATAATCTTTGAATTTTTTTTTTTATAATGGCCATCACATTTAAAGTCGACAATAGTTGGCCTAAATGCTTTACATACAATAAAAACAAAAAGCATATATAAAACACACCATAGAACATACAGGTAGTTAAATAGGACTGTGCTCCAGATCGAACTAAAAGCCAGAGAAGTGAGTTTTGAGTTGGTCTTTATTCAGGAGCTTTAGTAATTCATCCATGACACTAACACACCAGCTACGTATCATTTTCTTACTGTCTTAGGTGGGACACCAGGGGTGGCCTTTCAGATTTCAGGAAGGGCCCGTGCTACCCCTTGCCACCCTTCTGGCCAGTGTTTGTGTGTGGTGTACCAAACACAGTGTCTCTGTCTCCCAGAAACAGAGTATCTGATGGCTCCACTGTGTGACAGCCTCACTTGTCTCTGCTGACAACACAAAGTGGAACAGATCTGATGAGGCGTGAAATCAAATGCCTGCTTTTGTTCTCTTTTCTCTTTCAGACTTACTATTTGTTTTCCTTGCTGTCCATAAGCTTGATACATGTTATGATGTTTACAGCAATGTAGCGAGAGCCTGTTGATGTGTAGAGTTTAAGCCTGGATATGTGGTTATATGGCATGTAAGGTGACTTTGTCACATGTGTCCTTAAAACATCTGTGTTAGTTGGGCAAAGATGGATGACTGTGCTTTGTGTGCACTTGTGCAAAGTGACACATCTGTGAGTGTGTGCATGGTGTTGAAATCCCTGGGGCTTGTGTGGTGTGTGCAGCACTCGATAATTCAGGCTGGTCAGTGAAATCAGCCATTATTTCAGTCTCACTGACTTTCCTTCTTATATAAGGCAGAGGAGGAAGGAGGGTGAGAGGAGAGGACAGAAGTGTAAAAAACGAGATGGAATCCTCCATCAGAGGTATATTATGAAAAATTAAAGAAGCTTACAAAGCAAACCAAGATCAAGCCATTAACTGCAGCTACAACTTAAAAGAACCCAAATAGGTTAAGGTAACTGGTTACTGATAATTAGGATTGATTGATTGATTTATTCTTTCAAGCATGTAAAGACAGTCGATATGTCAACACACATAATTTCACACATATCCACAAATGCTAATCCATTATCAATTTGCTTATACCTAGTACATGCTTGAACGGACTAGGAAGAAGTCAGACTTATCCAGTCCTACCCCATGACATCATCTTACCATCATTGGTTTGCAAGCAGTATCTCTACATAGATAATTTTGTTCTACACCACGCAAGTAATATACTAAAAGATTATTACAGATTGTTAACATTCTTACATAATTACATTCTTAGATAATTATCTTCTACATCACACAAGTAGAATTATTACAGAGTATTAACATTCATACACCACACCACAATGTTCCATCTAATTAATCATTGAGCCTGTTCCTCCATATATCTTGATTGACACATGATTGACATATTTATGTTTAAACTCGTCAATTCTATTA